GGAGGAGGAGGAGGAGGAGCTGACCCCACTGCAGCAGCTGCTACAGCTGTGTGGTCAAGAGGTGCGGTGCTGCCCTGGCATGGCATCGGGACAGCAATGCGGGAACAAGTCCCTGCATGCTGCCCGCTCGCGCTGCCCTGCTGCCTGCAAACATTTCACCGCATCCTCCGCCACACCCTGAGGCTGTCTGCAGACCGACCCGCGGCTGCTGCCCAGCATGGACAAGCTGCTGGGGCAGCACGTGGACCTGAGGAAAGTGCGGAAGATTGGTGAAGGTGGGCCTGCAGCCGCTGCTGCTGGCCTGCTGCTGGCCGCCCTCCGCCCAGCTCCCCAACCGCCCGCACCACCTCCACCGGCGCTGGCGCCGCCGCCTCTGGCGCCTGCAGGCACCTTTGGAGAGGCGTTCAAGGCGGGGGGAGTGGTGCTCAAGATTGTGCCCATGGCCGGCAGCATCCTGGTCAACGGCGAGCCGCAGAAGCGGGCCGATGAGATCCTGGCTGAAGTGTCGGTGACGCTCACGCTGAGCCGACTCAACGGGGCGGGCGCGGCGCCAGGTGCGTGGGCGGGCATGGTCGGGGCGTGGCGGGGCGGCGGTGCAGCCCCGGATGGCGGGGCGAGTCCAGGCTGGCTGCCATGGGGCCTTACCGCCCCGCTCCAATGCTGGAGGTCATGGCAGGGGAACGGAGCGCCCACTTTGTGTGGTGCTGGCGCCGGCCCCACCCACCCCTCTGCTGCAGGCGAGGCGCTTGACAACATGACCAGCGGGTTTGTGGAGACGTTTGGGGTGGGGGTGTGCGCCGGCGGCTACAGCCCGGCGCTGTGCCGGGAGTGGCACCGCTGGGACAAGGAGCATGGGTCGGAGAACGAGCCCGTGGATGTCTTCAAGGGGCGCCCCGACCAGCTGTTTGTGGTGGGTGGCTGGGGTTGGGACAGAAGGGAGGGGCATGGCTGGGCAGGCGGGGGCGCATGTGAAGGAGGGGAGCCGGCGAGACGCGAGGCGCCGGTGCTGCTGCCGCCTGCAGGTGTTTGTGGTGGCGGATGGCGGCGTGGACCTGGAGCACTTTGAGCTTCGCACGTTCGAGGAAGTGCGGTCCATCCTGCTGCAGGTTGGTGGGCTGCCTGCCTGCCTGCCTGCTGTTGCCCTGGCCCTGGGTGCGGCTGCATGTGTAGATGACCTGGTAGCCCGCCTCCTTGCCTGCGATTGCCCCCCTTTCTCGCCTGCGGCTCGCCCACCTCCCAATGTCCTTTGCACATGCGCCCCCACCCCCACCCACCCCGCCACTACCCGCAGACTGCGCTGACTGTGGCGGTGGCTGAGGAGGCCTGCCAGTTTGAGCACCGCGACCTGCACTGGGGCAACCTGCTGATACGCCGGTCCCAGCAGCCCGCCGCCACCTCGGCCGTGCGCGCCCGCCTGCGGGGTGTGGAGCTGGAGGCCGCCACCGAGGGCGTCACGGTGAGGCTGCTGCCCTGAGGCAGGCGACAGCTGGGTACTGAGGTCGGCGCTGTGCTCTGGCCTGCTGCATTTCCTCGCCGGCAGTGGCTGGTGCTGCTGCCGCCCCTGCACCCAGCTCCCCTCCTCAATTGCGTTCTTCCTGACCTGCTTCCATTGCTGTTCCTCTCGTCCCAGGTCACCCTCATCGACTTCACGCTGTCCAGGCTGGTGACGGTGACGGGTGAGGTGGCCTTCTGCGACCTGGCCGCCGACCCGGAGCTGTTCCGGGGCCCCAGGAACAGCGTGCAGGCGGAGACATACCGGCGCATGAAGAAGGCGACGCGCAATGCCTGGCAGGCGCACGTGCCCGCCACCAACGTGTACTGGATGCAGTACCTGGTGGACACGTGCATCACAGAGGTGGGCATGGGCGCGGCCCCGCTGTGTGTGTGGTCGGCGGGGACGGGGTGGGGCGGAGGGTTGCGTCGACCCAGCCTGGGTGGGGCCCAGCCGTGTCTGCTGCTGGGCCGTCAGCCGTGCAGCCATGTCCTGCCTCGTGTGTTCTCACTGTCGTGCCTGGTACCCTCCTGGCCCCGCTGGCGCGCAGAAGAAGGGGTGGGGGTGCGGCAAGGACGAGCTGGCGCAGCTGCGCGCCTTCAAGCGCCGCGCCTCGGCCTGCGCCTCCTGCTCCGAGCTGCTGCTCGAAGACTTCCTGCGCGCGGGGCTGCTGATCGACAGCTGACGGCGCCCGCCCTTGTGATCACGCAGAAAGCTTCCCTTCATCTGGTCGGCAGCTGTAATGCTGCTGCTGGGATTGGAGGCGGCGGCCGCTGCTGGGCGCGCTGGGCGCATGTCAGGCCTGCCGGGCGCTGTGCAAGCGGCCTATTGATGAAACAGCTTGCTTAGCATCGTCATTTCATCTTCCGTGTTGCCAGTGCACCAGCACACACACACACAGGCGGCGGCCACCAGCGTACACAATTGGGTGTACACACTAGTAGACTTGGTGTAGGCCCCACTAGTGTACATTGCAGACTAGAGTGGTACTATTGCGCGCTCGCTCTCTAGTTTGCGACTACTGCGCTCGCCCCACCTTTGCACCCAGCTCGCTGCAGCTTTTTGACTGCAATGCCCCCGGCGGCGCCAATCCTGTGATCGGGCTGTCCCGTGGAGCCTGAGAGGGACGTCCCGAGGCCTGCAGCAGCCGCCATGGCGGCCTCTGGGAAAGCTGCGGCGTGGAGCCGGGGCAACCTGCTGCTGCTGGTAGCGGGCAAAAAGGACGTGAACAGCCTGATGGAAATGGATGCCTTGCTCCAAGGTAAAGCTGGAGAGCTCACTCTGTGCACCTGCATTCGACCGGTGATCAAGGGGACTGACGTCCCTTGTGGCTCGCACATGGCTGCAAAGGGCCACTGCAGTAGCGCCCCTGCACCTGTGAGCACCACGCCTCCGCCGCCACAATGCAACATCTCGCCGCTGACGCCGCTGCAGAGCACCGCGCGGCCCCTGCCCTGCCCAGCCTTGTGCGAGGGCTGCTGGTGCGGTTCAAGTTCGAGGGGCAGTACCACCTGCGCCAGGTGGAGTACAGCAAGCCCACCGCCGACGGCAGGCCCGCGCTGGCGGTGGCATCGCCCAGCCTGGGCGGCCCCGCCGCGCTCCGCCTCATCCCGCTGAGCAGCATCTCCAGCACCAATTCCCTGCAAGACCAGAACTGGATGGCGGCGGGGGTGGACGAGGTGGCGCGGCTGCAGGCCAGCATGCAGCTGCGGCACCAGGCACTGGCGCTGCACGAGGTGGGGGCAGGCGCCGAGATGGGCGGTGTCGCTGGACGGAACGGTGGGAGAGCGTCCCTGCATGCTGTGCTTCCTTGGGCTTGCCCCCCCCTGTCGTCTCTCCCTGCCTGCCTGCCCACTTCGACCGCCTGCCTGCCTGCCTGGCTGCCCTCGCAGACCGCGGCGGTGGCGTGGCGCAAGCAGGCGGCGCTGCGCTGGCACGCGGCGCACGGCGGCCAGCCCGCGGAGCAGCAGGCGGCGGCGCTGGCGGAGCTGGCGCTTGCGCTGGCGGATGCGGGCGGCATTGCAGGGGTGCAGCAGCAGCTGGAGGTAGAGGTGAAGGAGGTGGACACTCCAGAGCACCTGGAGCAGATGCAGCAGGAGCAGCAGCAGCAGCAGCAAGAGGAGCACCACCACGGCGTCACCGTCAGGCTGCCTGCCGCGGCGCCAGCTGCCGCGGCGGGCCTGGCGCTGCTGCGCCCTGGCGGCGGCCCGGAGGGGGCGGCAGCAGCGAGCGGGAGCGGCGAGCATGCGAGGAGCGGTGGCGCCCTGCGCCTGCTTCAGACCTTGGACGGCGAGGATGGCAGCGGGTCAGCAGGTGCCGAGGCACCGGCAGCAGCAACGGCGGCAGCCACCTTGCCCGGCACCCGGCACCCAGCTGCGCGCAGCCGGCGGGTGTCGCCGCAGGCGCCGCCGGCGAGCAGGCATGCGAGTGGAGCGGGTGGCCGCTCCGGCAGGCAGCCCAGCCCAGGCCGAGGCAGGGACAGCGGCAGCGGGAAGCGAGATGGGGAGAGGAGGGCTGGGGCAGACGAGCGTGTGCGTCGCGGCAGCCCACGGCGGCGTAGCCTCAGCCCTCGCCGGCGCAGCCCTGGCCGCCGTCGCAGCCGCAGCCCTGGCCGCCGTCGCAGCAGCCCTCGCAAGCGCAGCCCCCCACGCCGCAGCCGCAGCCGCAGCCCTGTGCGCCGCAGCAGAGCTGGCGGCGACGAGGGGCGGCCCGCGTCCAGGCGCAGCCGCACCCCCGACATGGGCTTGCCGCCGCCGCAGCAGCAGGCGGCACTGCCGCAGGCGCCGGGTGGCGGGCGTGAGCCGCCGCTGGTGCCGGTGCTGATGCGTCACTTCAAGCTAGTGCCTGGCAAGCCGGATGTGACCTGGGAGCTGATTGGGCGGCGGGTGTTTGTGAGCATGCCCAAGCAGGGCACGGCGCGGGCGCTGCGGGAGGCGGCGGAGCGTGTGGGCGGTACAGGTGGGCGGTTGGGCGGTACGCCCACGCGCAGCAGCACGTGGCAGCGGTACGCAGCATGCAAGGGCAGGGCAGGGCAGGGCCAGGCCTGTGTCCCGCGTGCTTTGTGGGTTGCAGCCTCGCGCCAACCCCTCCTCTCTGTGCGCCTGTGCCCGGCTGGCCGCGCCGGCACCTCCCCAGCGCCTCCTCGCCGCCTCGCCCGCTGCCGGCATGCGACGCGCCCCCCCGCTTGCCCACCCGCCCCCCCAAACCCTACAGTGACTGAGGCGCATGTGAGGACTGGGGACCACCGCGGCGACATCGGTGTGCTGGAGTTGCAGACGCCCAGCCAGGCGGCTCGCGTGGTGGAGCAGCTGCAGGGCACGCAGGTGGGAAGGCTTAGGGCGCTGGGCGCGCAGCCGCGCCGCGCCCGCGCGCCTGCCGGCGCCAGCAGCGCCGCCCGGCAGCCGCCCCGGTGCCCGCGGCGCCGCCGCCGGCTGCCGTCTGAGCAGCGGCGCGATGCGCTGGCGCCTGGCTGGCGCCGTGCTTGGCGGCCCCTGATGCCGCCAGAAAGTGCATCGCGGCCCGGCGCATTCTGCGCCCGATTGACGCCACACCACCCCCACCGCTGCTGCCCACCCCCACAGATGGACGGCCACCGCCTCTTTCTGCGCCCCTTTGCCAGCGAGGTCGGGGAGATTGCGGAGGCATTCCCCCGGGAGGCAGCAGCCGCTCAGCAGTTCCTTGCGCTGGCACGCGCAGGCGGCGCGCCGCCCCTCGCCGGCGACGGCGGCAACGGGCGCGGCAGCGGGACCGCCTCTGGCGGCGGGGCGAGGGAGGGCGAGCGCGGGCGCGAGCGCAGGCGCAGGCGCAGCCGCAGCCGGGACGCGGCGGCGGTGCGTGTGGGGCAGGTGGCGGCGCGGGTGGTGGCTGCCAGGCGGGCCGGCACCCCAGAGGCAGGCGGCCCCCCCCCGGCCCGCCGCAGCCACCGCAGCCGCAGCCGCAGCCGCAGCCGCAGCGCCGGCCGGCGCGGCAGCGGCAGCGGGGGCGCCCGCGGCGGCCTGGGCGCCGCATCGCCTGGCGGCAGGCGCGCCGCCTCGGCCCCTAGTGGCGGCGGCGGAGCAGCAGCGGCAACAGGCGGGTCTGCTTTCTGGGATCCTGTGTGGGTCCTGGAGTGGCAGTGCGTGCAGCGGCTGCAGTGCCGGGGCCGCATGCCGCTGCGCGCCCTGCTGGAAAGCGTGGACTGGGTGCCGCAGCTGGGGCCGGCCACGCCCAATACGGGTGAGGGCCAGGCGGTTGCTGTGCGGGCGGCCAGCTGCCTGGGCATCGCCCGGCCCCGCTGCAGAGGCTGCTGCAGAGCTGGCGCGGGCGGGCTGCCGCCGTGGAGAGGCGCCGGCTGCCGTGGGCTGCTGCGCCTGCATGGCTTTATGGCTGCCGGCCGGCTTGCGTGCCCTCATGGCACCCATGTGCCCGCTGCCCTCCCCATGCCGCCTGCTGCAGACTGCCTGGCCGCCTTCCTGCGCCGCCGGCCCCCACCTCTTTGCCTTGCGCGCGCGGCGGCGAGGAGGTGCGGGTGCTGGACGGGGCGGAGGCGTTCCTGCGGTACAAGCGCAGTATCCTGCAGTACCTTGCCGACCACCCGCCGCGCGTGGAGCGGGAGCGGCTGGCCCGGGATGTGGTGCCGCCGCCGGACCTGGCGCCCCAATTCAGAGCCATGGTGGGTGGGGAGAGGAGCAGGCATGGGGCTGGGGAGGGGTGGAGGGCTGCTGGCGGCATGCTAGCCGTGGGCCGCTATGCCCTGGCTGCTGCCAGCCTCCACGTGCGCCCGCCAGCCATGCCTGAGCCCGCGCTGCGCGTGCATGCTGCTGCGCGTGCATGCTGCTGCGGCCCAGCCCCCCACCTGCCCACCTGGCCACGCCGCCGCCCCACACACGCATGCCCTCCGCCCCTCCCCTGCAGTCGCTACGCTCCTTCCTGCAGCAGTTCCTGGCAAATGAGGTGTGGACGCTGGTGGGGCGCAGAATCTATACAGACCCTGCGCTGGCCAAAGAGGGGACGGCCGAGCTGCGCCCCTTCCTCGCCCCTGCCGCCGCCGCCCCCGGCGCCGTGCCGCCGCCCAGCTTTGCCCCCATCTGCCCAAGCTTTGTGGGGACCGCCGCCAGCTGCAGCGCGGGCGCCAGCTGCCGGCTCTCGCATGCACGCGCGCGTCTGTTTGCCTGATCAAAGGCCGTGTTCCTCATGAGGGGGCAGGGCCGTGGCCGGCGGGCCAGCGCTGGTCATACTGCTGCGCACTTCCTTCCTCTGCCCGTTTCATTCATGCCAGCCCGAATCCAACCTGATGCATTGTCTGTCCGTCCCTCGCCACAGCATGTGTGCACACTGTGGCTGGGGCCCTTCCTGCTCATTTTCCTCTGCACCTGCATGCGATTCCTGCGCCGCTGCGCCTCTTTCCGCTCAACCTCCCCGCTTGGTAACGCCACGAGTGAATCACCAGATCCGCAAAAGCGCCAGCGTTATACCGCGCTGGAGCACACGCAGGCAAGCCTGCCTATCAATGATGCCATGCATGCATGCAAGCCACACTGTTCTTTGACCCTGCCCCTGCCCCACAGCACCCCTACATCTCGTGTGAACACCCCTCACGTGAACACAGTCTGCGCGAAGCCAACCGGCTGCCGGCACATCGGGCACAGCGGCTCCGCCTCCGCCATCAACCCGTCGGCGCAGCGCCTGCGGCAGCAGCAGGCGGGGACAAGGCACGGGTGGGCTCTCATCGCGGGCATCCCCCCCGCAGCAGCGGCCTGTTGCGCAGCCGTGCCGCGTGCCGAGGCCCGGCAGCAGCAGCCCACCCATGCGGGCAGGCCGGCACGCTCGCCTGCACAGCACCAGGTGGCCGCACGGCACCAGCACCACGCGCCGCTCCTCCTCCCAGCACACCACGCACTCCTCCTCGCCCTCGCCGCCCTCGCCCTCGCCGTGGCCGCCAGCCTGCATCCCGCTGGCGCTGCCTGCCGCGCTGCTGGCCGCGCCGACAGCAGCGCCTGCAGCCCCTGGCTCTGCCCTGGCAGCCACGGCAGGCTGCCTGCTGGCCACAGCCTCTGCTGGCAGCATGGCTGCTGCCGCCTGGTGCAGGCTCAAAGGCGGGGCGTGGAGCGGCGGCGGCTGTGCCTGGCTCGCCTCTGGCCCCTCCCACTCCGGCACCGTGGCAGCACCTCCAGGTACAGTAGCAGGTGCGGCGACCAGCTCCGGCACCGCTGGCGCCCAAGCAGCAGCTGAGCTGGGCTCGCCAGCGGCTGGTCCCTTGAAGTCTGTCACGGTAGCATGCTCAGCCGCGTCCACAGCGGCTGCGGCTGTGGAGGCAGCCGCTGCTGCTGACAGCCCCGCCGCTGCTGCGGCGGCCTCGGTGCTTGCACTGGAAGATCCGCGCTGCCTGGCTGTTGCGTCCAGGCGCCCAGCCTGAGCTGGAGGTGGGGGCACCGGTGGCTGCTGCTGCTGCTTCTGCCGCCTGCGGCGCCGCACCCGCTGCCCCTCCACTGCTGCGGCAGTGGGCGGCGCCTCAGGCTCATGCCGAGCCTCAGGCTGAGGCTCATGAGCAGCGGCTGCCGCCGCGGGCTGCTCGACAACGCCTGCTTGGCTGGCAGCGCTGGCTGGGCGCCTGCTGCTGCTGGCCGGCCTGTGCAGATCGTGGGGATGCGAGGCTGGGGGTGCGCCTACGGCGGGTTCAGGAGTAGTGCCAGCCCTGCTGCAGCTCCTGCTCATGGCTGCCCCCGGCGTGGCTGCCGCAGGCTCCTGCTGCCCTCTGGCGTCCTGCGTGCGCTGCCCTCCCGCTTGCTTCCTGCCCCGCTGCTGCAGTGGAGGCGCCGGGCCTGAAGGCTGGCGGGCGCGGCTGATCCTGGCAGGGCGCTGTGCCTTCTGCAGGTGCCGACGCCATGCGGGGAGTGCCTGCCAGGCTGCATGCAGCCAGGAAAGGGATGTGAGTTGCGGGAAGTGCCACGATGAAGCAGCAATGTCTACTTTTATGCACGTGCAGCCTGTCGAAGCATACGCTGAATGCTCACCTGCTAAGGGCACCACCACCAGCACTGCCGCCACTGCCGCACTTGCCCAATGGCTGTGCGCAGCTGGTTGCACCTCCAAGCCCTCCTGCTGGTTGTACTCCCGCTTCTGCTGTTGCTGCCATCTCCAAGTGCTGATCAGACTGAGCAGGCTGTTCCATGCGCCACCCGACCGCGCAGAACGTTTGTACTCAAAAGTGGGGATGGCGCTGGGGTCATCGACAAGTCCTTCTGCCACAGTCACAGCGCTGGTGCGCGGCAGGCGCTTGCTTGGAAAGCCAAGCTGGCCCCACAGCTGTCGCTCCGCATACATGTAGCCCAGACTGCAGTTGCAGGCAGGCAGGCATCGCTGGGCTCAGTTGGCTTTCAGGAGCGCAGCAGCAGCCTTGAGGTGCAGCTCACCTGAGCAGCGGGCCGGATAAGAGGGTGCCGTTGCTGCTGAGAGGTCCCAGACCTGCTGGAGCGCAGTCTGAAGAGGAGCCGCCCAGCTCCTGCTGCTCGCCTGCCTGCTGACCGCCACTGCGGCTGTTGCACCCGCACTCACAGAAGGGAACCGCCTCCACCCTGACTGTCAGCAGCAGCTCGCCGTCGACCACGAAACCGGGGAGCTGCCCCGTCAGCATGCGCCACAGTGGCAGCCCTGGCTTGGAGCAGGTATCTGACCACTTAAAATCCGCAGGCCAGACACACGTGAAGCCTGCATAGCTGGGAAAGCTTGCATTCACGTGCCACGCGTGTAGGCTTCAGCGGTGCTTGCCACTGAAGCGCATGCCACTCACTTGTGTGCCAGTTGGAGGAGGGGGTTGTGTGCTCTGCGCTGACAGATACGTTGAAGGCGACAGGCGCATCGCAGAGAGGCGTGTGCTGCTTCCACAGCCGCACCCCGACTGCGGCGTCTTCAGCACGTGCATCAATGTGCGGGTACCTGCCAGCAGGGGGTGCGTGAGTAGCAGCACATGTAGCTGTTCGCAGCAGGGCATGCTGCCATCTGCCCTGCTACCCCCCAACAAATCTCACCATGCGTAGCCAGCTGCAATGAAGCCTCTGGCCTCTGCCCGAGTCCAGTCTGGCTGTGTGGGGTGCGCGATGTATCCGCTGTCCGTGAAAACTTGCGCTGGCAGCGTCCACTGCAGGAAGCGCAAAGCCAGAGCTACTTGCGTGAATTGAAGGCTTCAATCATCACCCCGTGATTTGTGTGCCTCACCTGAACAGTGCCGCTCATGTTAGTAGCCCCCACAGCCTGCAGGTTGCCTTCGATGGTCCACGGCTGAGAGTGCTCAAATGAGTGCAAGAAGAAAGTGTCCAAGTGCTGCTGCCAGGCGGGCCGCAGAACTCCGTGGTTGAGAAGATAGGCGATGTCTGCAGGCAAGGTTCGGATTCTCAAAGCAAGCAAGGAACAGTACAGGCATCGTGCAAGAAAACTTACTCAAGACGACATGCTTCTTTTCATGGTCTGGAAGTGACGCCATTCCCCTTAGCACGGCAATCTGATCCCAGCATGTCTTGTATCGGCTTTCAGCAAGCCCCAACGCTGGCTTGTTCCAGCCCCAACCGAGGTGCCGCGCATTCATGAGCGAGGCGACTAGAGCCTGGAAGGACTGGTTGCGCTGCAGGAAGACCAGCACTGTCAGCAGGCCAGCCTCCAATTGCTCGACTGCAGCTTGCAGGCTGGCCAGCGTCTTTCTGTTCAGCTGTGGCACACCGACCGCAGGCGGCAGTGGCAAATCGGACGCAAAACACGGGTTCGCTGGGGCAGGCGTGGGGACGGGAGATGGCGGGCGCGCAGCAGGCGGGAGCACTTCAGGAGCCACCTTGGCAATAAAGCTGCCGATGAGCCCAAGTGTCGCCAGTTGACACTGCATGCGGGGGAGCAGCTGCCCAGGCATGTCAGACACAGTCAGGCAATGCCAGCAGCCAGCAGAGGCAGCAGGAAGTGCAGGAGGTCGAGCTTCGAGCGCCGGCGATGGATGGCGGCCAGGGCGTCTGGGCGGGCGGCAAGCCACTTGCCTTCAGTGCCGTCCTGCACCATTCGCACTCTTGCTCCTCTTGCCCTTCGTCAGGAGTGACTTGCTTAAGCTCCTTGGCAAAGCGCAGGGGAGCGTGGGCGATGGCCACGGGTATGACATCGCGCTGCAGCTGCTGGCGCCAGCCCTCAGTTTCCAGCCAGTCGAAAGCGCTGGTGTTTGCGAGCAACACAAAGGTCGAGGCGGGCTTGGCTGCCGTGGAGCGGCACGGTGATGCTGCTAGGCAGAGCAGAGCTGCCACGAGAAGGCTGAGAGCTGTCATGACTGGGCTGGAGTGAAGAGAGTGAGAGAGTGAAGCCTTGGACGTTAACACACTCAGGCTGGTGGAAAGTATTAGGGCCGACCCCACATGCTGCATGCTCTTGAACACCAAAAGCAATTGTATTGACATGGACTGCTTCCTAAAGGAGGGAACCTCTAGAGGAAGGAACAAAGCAGCAAAGCCCCGAGCAGAGCGGCTCAAGCGCGCTGCTGCCGAGCGGCGGCGGCCGCCCCGCCGCACTGCTCGATGATGTCGGCCGCCGCAGCCACCCCATCCTCCCGGTTCATCTCCCGCCCCAGCGCCTCAGCCGCCGCCGTGTAGCGGTCCAGGTGGAGCAAGCCGCGCTGGATGCCCGACGCCAGCTTGGCCGCAGTGAGGCGGAGCACTGCACAGGGGAGGCAGGCGGGCGCAGCGGCCAGGGCCGGGCCGGGTTGAGTCGGTTGGTTGGGACAGCGTGGCGCGCTGGCTGCAGGTGCTGGCAACGCGGCCCCAGCGCCTGTGCAGCCGCCGCGCACAGGCAGGCAAAGGTGAAGGTGAGCGGGCACCAGGGGCGCACCCGGGAACCAGGGCGGGCCCAGCCCGCGCCGGTGCACCAGGTCTGCCCAAAAGGGCTGGTCGGAGGAGGGCACGCAGGGCACCACCAGCGACGGCTTGCCTGCGGGGAGCGGGGCATGCAGAGCAAGGCAGCGGGCGGCTGTGGAGGCTGCCAGGGAGGGGCAGCTGTTCACGCAGGAGCAGCCGTGGCCATGCTCACGCCAAGGCGCCTCCCAGCCTCCCAAGCCGCCCATGCCTCCCATGCCTCCGCAGCCTCCCATGCCTCCGTGCCACACACCTGCCAGCAGCGCGGCCTGTGTGGTGCCCGCGCCGCCGTGATGCACCACCAGGTCGCACTGCGGCAACAGCAGCTCGTGAGGAACAGGCGTCTGCAGGAGGAAGTAGGTGGGCGGCAGGCCGCTGCGCTCCTGCTCCTGCCGCGCCTGCGCCTGCAGGCCAGGCCCCGTGCCGCCGCCGGCGCCGCCGCCGCCGCCGCCGTTGCAGCTGCCCGGCAGCAGGTTGGTGTGGATGACGGCGCAGAGCGGCAGCTGGGAGGACGCCGCCACCACCGCCTCCCGCATGCACCCGATCAGGCGCTGCACCTGCACAGGCACGCAGGCAGGCAGGCAGGAGTTCAGCATCCCAGCATGCCTCACCCAGCTTTAAAGCTGCTTGTTTGGCAGCCCCCCCACGCCAGCCCTCCAGCCTGAGGCGGCACATCAGCCTGATCTGCCGGCAGCGGCAGCGGCAGCGGCGGCGGCGGAGGGGCCAGCAGCCCAGCGGCGCACCTCTGCCGCCTCAAACACAGTACCCAGCATGGACCCCAACCCAATGTAGACCACCGGCAGCTGGGCCCTAGCGGCAGCATCCAGGTAGGCCTGCACTCGCATGCGCCCCCACACAGCTCAGTATGCGCATGCAGGTGCTGGTGCAGGTGCAGGTGCAGGTGGGCATTCAGGTGCAGGTGCAGGGCTGCGCTGGCAGGCTGGCGTGTGGCCGCACTCGGGCCTGGCCTGTCCACAGACGCTGCGCTGGCGCCCCCGCCCTGCATGCTGCCCACCCACCTGCAGCTCTGCAGGCAGGCCCACCGCAGCGCCCTGCTGGCCGCCCGCCGCGGCCGCCGGCGCCTGCTGGCGCTTGAGCAGCAGCGGGCCCACCACGTGGCTGTGGGAGGGCCAGTCGGCGGGCTTGGGCAGGAGGGAGGGGGAGTAGATGTATAAAGTAGGGGCCACCCCGGGGGTCAGGCTGCGCCCCAGCTTGATGCCGCCCGACCGCGGTGGCTGGGCGGCGGAGCCGGCAAGGCTGCCGACCGGCTGCGGGCTGCTGGCGCCGCTGCTGGCGCCGCTGCTGGCGCCACTGCTGGAGCCGCTGCTGCCGCTGCTGCTGCTGCTGCCAAACGTCGCCGCCACCTCCCTCTGCACCTCTGCCCCCACCGCGCCTGCCGCTGCGCTAGCCTCGGCCGCCGCCACCGCCTCGTCGACGATGCGCTGGGCGCGGCTCATGTGCAGCGGCTGCGACACCGCCGCCTGCAGGGCCTGCCACTGCAGGCGGTTGATCCAGCCCGCGGGCGCGGTGAAGCCGGTGCCTGCCAGCGGCATGCCAAACTCGGCAGTGGGGAGCATGGGGATGGTGTAGGACAGCACCACGCGGGTGGGCAGGCCCAGCAGGGCCGGCAGCGCCGCCGACCCGCTCATCGCCACAAAGCCGGAGAGCAGGAGCACGTCGGGGCGCAGCTGGGCCAGCAGGCGGCGGATGGAGGCAAACCAAGACTCCAGCAGCGGCAGCCGGAAGAAGTCCTGCGTGGCTGCAGGGCGGGCGCGGCGGCGGTGGGGGGCGGGGGTGGCGGCCAGGTGAACGAGGAGGAAAGTCAGGGCGGTGCTGGTGGAGGGCTGTCAGGGGCAGGGCGACTACCGCGGCATGTTTCCCCTCCTGCCGGCTCTGCTCTCGACTTGCGTGCGCTCATGCCGGCAGGCTCTGCTGTGACTGTGGGGGCCAGCCTGCCCCCACCCCCGCCTCCTACTCACCCTGGAACGCGGTGAGGGCGCCCGCAGTGCGCAGCGCACGGCCCTGCGGCGAGGAGCTGACGGCGTGCTGCAGCGCGGGGAGCGGGGAGGGGGAGGCGGCAGGGAGGCGTGAGGCGGGCCGCGAGGTGCGGCGCCCAACCACGCGCCTGGCAGCCGCCGCGAGAAGGGCAGGAGGCACCCACCGCCGCCGCCAGTGCGCACAGCGGGCCCACCTGCAGCGAGATGCCGATGTCCTCGGCCTCCAGGCCGTACCCCTCCACAAAGCCGCGGTACTCGGGCGGTACCGCCAGCACCACGCGCCACCGCCGCGCGTCGCGCAGGTGCAGGCCGAGCGCCACAAACGGCTGCACGTCGCCGCGGGTGCCCATGGCCGTTAGCAGGATGGTCCTGCGCAGGCGGCAGGGGCAGGGCATGGGCAGGGCAGGGCGGCTGGAATGGAGGGGTGGTTGAGCTGCGGCGGGAGGGAGTGGGGCCAATGGCTGGTGGTAGGCCGGCCGGTGGCATTGGCAGGGGCCAGCAGGCCGTAGCTCACCGCCTTGGTTCCATGGCGGCGGTGGCGGCGGCCTGATAGTCCAAGCTCTCCGTCATCCTAGGCAACGCGTTAAATGCCTGGTCTGTCCTTCGAATCCCTCCACCCACGCCGTGGGCTGCTGTTTCCCAGGTCCGCACAGCCTACCTATGGTATGTCTGGGGTCCCACACGTCCTCAGAAAACTGCGCGACGATGGGCAGACGCGTCCTGAGGCAGTGATAAAGATCAGGGAGGTTGAGAGATCTGTGGCACGAGCCTCCTCGGGTGCCTCGGTCGGGGGTGGATGACCTGGCGCCGCCGTTGGGCGGCGACATCTGGCGCGACACCGTCATTGAAACCTTCTGTCTCAGCTGCCCCAGCCGTGCCATGCTTCTGTGGTTGCACTGACGCTGGCCATTCCACCAAGTCATCCAGTGATGTATTACACGCCTGTGTCAAAAGGCGCGCACTCAGCAGCAGAACGCCATCCCAGGATTCCAGAAGATGAGAGGGCAGGAATGAAATAGAGAGGTCTTCCCCAAAAACTCAGAGCAGCAGCAAAGGGGCGTGTATGCCGCACAAGGGGGTAAAACTTTCAAGCAGGCATCATACGTTGGGGAAGAGGAGACGGAGGGCAGAGCAGGTGGCCAGCGTGGCCCCGCAGCCCAGCAGCGCTCCTCCCGCCGCCACTCAACGGCCGCGCCGCCTCACTCGCTGCCGCCGCCGCTGCCGCTGCTGCCGGGCTCGGCTGCCGGCGCCGCCGGCTCCTTGCCCAGCCAGCGCGCCACCACGGGGGTGAGCGCCACGGTGGGCGGGAAGCGCACCGGGGACAGCGCCTTGTGGGCGGCATACGCAATGGCAAATGTGCCCACAGTCTCGCTGGTGCTGGTCACCTGCGCAGCAGCACGCAGGGGTGAGCGGGGCGAAGGCGGGCGCACGAGTCAGAGGATGGTGCCAGCAGCAGCAGGCTATCAGCGCAAGGGCTCACGCCTGCCGTGGGCGCCAGCTGGCTCGTCAGCGACCTCCAGCAAGACATGCCCAAGACGGGCCTGCCGCCTGCCAGCTCTGCCGCCCCAGGCACATCCTCGACGAGATTGCCCCTCAGCGAGCCTTTCAGCGGGCCAGGTCAGGCCACCCGCACACCACACCACACCACACCACACCACACCACACCCACGCCACGCAGGCGCAGCTGCGCCAGGCACGCCCCACACCCACATTGAGGCCGATGCGCTCCAGCAGCGCCGCCACATCCACGCCCGCATCCACAGCCAGGTAGCATGCGGCCATGGACACGACAGCAAAGGAGATGGAGGTCAGCAGGTAGGCGCTGCCGTACCGCGCCAGAAGCTGCTTGGCCTGCAGCGAAGGCGGGATTGCGTGTGTGCGAGCGTGCGTGTCGCGGCAGCAGGGTGTCGGCAGACGCAGCAAGGGCATCGGCAAGCGCCGGCCCGCCGCCACACAAGGCAGCCGAGCTGCATGCACGCCATGCCGCCGTCCCTTGCCGCGGCGGCGTGTCTGCCCCGGCGTGGTGCGCCCGCACGCTGCTGCGGCGCTGCCAGCCGCCTGAGCCGTTGCGACCGCCGCACCTGCTGGCCCTTGGTCAAGCCGTCGGCGTTCTTGTCGCTCCACACCTTCCACAGCCCCGCCTCCAGGCCCCACTTCTCCGTGTGCGCCTCCGCCTCGCTCTGCAGCACACGCATGCGGCCGCATCAACGCCGGGAGCGTCAGGCCGCCGCCGCTGGTACCAGGGCATTGTTCCGGAACCAGCAGGCCACGGCCACCCGGCAGGGCTGGGCACCGCCAACTACCAGGCCCCAGCCCCACAGGCTTCTCTGTCACTGCTTCTGGGGCCCTGCTGGCACCCCACCTTGGGTTCCGGCTGGCTGCCGACTATAACAGAGGCGCCTCGCTGCCGCCGCTGAGGTTGCCGCCACGGGGCGCCGCTTGCCGCCAGCCTGCAGAGGGGCGCCAAGCCAGGGCGGCGCCGCTGTCTGCGCATGCCCTGCTCACTTGCAATGCCCCCGGCCCACGGCAAAGCGTTCAAGTGGTGGGCACCGATAGCCCACCTGCAGGGCCCTGCCGCTGGTCGCGCATTCCCCTCCGAGATTCGCAGAGAGACTTGGTGCTGCAATGCCACATGCATGGCGCCTGGCTGTGGGGTGCTGCTCAAGGGAGCGGAGGACTCTCGGGGCGGGGAGCCGGCGGCAAGCTACAAGGGAGGGAGCACCTAAAATAAGCTCCGGAAACCCCCTGGGCGACTCTACGGCGGCCTCATACCCTTTGGATGGGCTTTTTGCGATGGAAAGGTTTCCTTGCAACCTGGCAGCTTTTCCGGCTTACGTCAGCCCCAAACCTCCCCAATGTGCCACATTTAGCGTGTGTGGATTACTTGGCACTGACTGGCGGGCAGGCGCGCAGCTGGCGGCAACAAGGCATCGTGGGAACAGAAGCTGCCGCTGTCCACGCGCCCCTCCAGCCACATTTACCATGGCGCCCGTGTCATTACCAGAGCAGGGCGATAGCCAGCCTTTGAAGCGCCATAAGGTCACGGACGCCGAGGCAACTGCTGCTGCGGCGCCCTCGACCAAGCCCCTCAACAAAAATGCAAACAGCTTCGACTCCCAGGCCGAGGAGTGGAGGAGCAACCTGAGGTGCGGCGCATTGCGCATGCATGGGGCCCATCGGCGCCAGCGAGGGGGGCACCAAAGGCGGCGCTGGCTCCACACAGCTGAACAGTGTCGCAACTGCGCGCCCCACCCTGCCATCGCTGCATCGATGCATGGCTCAAGAAGCAGCCGGGGGCGGGGCTGCCTGGCACTGGCCCAGGCAGGAAGGGGGGCAGGGCAGTACCGCCGCTGCCGCTCGACGCTCGACTTGCCGCCCACCCGCCCCTGCCTGCGCCCTCCGCTGCCTCTCCCCGCCCACGATGCTGCAGGGGCGACGCGGAGCTGGTGAGCGGCCCCAGCGGCGAGCGCCCCGACTGGTGGTGGACTGGGCCCAAGCCGGTGCCGGGCGCGGCGGGCGTGCAGCCCGACGGCACCATCACCAGCCTGCCGCTGCCAGACCTGGCCACCTGCACGCGCCAGCAGGTGCGCTGCTGCACACGCGGCTTGTTTATGGGGGCGGCAGCTGGAGGGCATGCTGCAAGAGAGCCAATGCCACAGGCCAAGGCGCCACCACGTACGCCTCCACCACCCTCTGCACACACACCGCCGTACACCCCACCCACCCCACCCGCAGGCCCTGGCCTACTTTGACAACACCTGGCTCATCACAGAGGTGCTGTTCAGCGCGCTGCAAGGTGCGGGGGGCGGGGCGCCGCGCGGGTGCAGCCTGGACGCGCAGCCTCCTCGCCGCCGCGCCCGCGCCCTGCTCGCCTCCAGCCACCGCCGCCGTCGGGGCGTGGCGGTGCAGCTGGCGCCGAGCGCGGCGCGCCTCCAAGGAGGGGTCGCATGCTCCCGCTGCCATCCCCAGTTCCGCCTGGTCGCCCTGAGGCCGTCCCTCGCCCTCCACATTCGCACACGCACGCGCGCACACGCGCGCACACACACACACACACACACACACACACACACACACACACACACACACACCTCCCTCCCACCCACACCAGCCACCCACACAACACACACACCTCCCACCCTCTGGCCCGCAGGCGAGGAGTGCTACTACCGCCCCCCCCACCACAACCTGCGCCACCCCTTCATCTTCTACTACGGACACGTGGCGGTCTTCTACACCAACAAGCTGCGGGTGGCGGGCATCCAGGCGCAGCCCCTCAACCTCCAGTTTGAGCACGTGTTTGAGGTGGGCGTTGATGAGGTGAGCAGGGTGTTGGGGGGGGGGGGGGGGGGAGCATGCCTATAAGCTGCATATGTGGGTGGTGCGAAGGGGCGTGGCGTGGCGTGTGCCTTGGGGCTGATCATTGCATGTCGGTTGTCGCACCTCGCAGCAGCGTGGTGGGCTGCCCATGCACCCCCAGCGCGCCGCCGCCCTGCCCCCCACCCCACACCCCCGCCCCCTATCCCCACGCATACTGCCCCCGCAGATGAGCTGGGACGACCTGTCCAAGAACGACATGCTGTGGCCCTCTGTGAGGGAGGTCAACCAGTACAGGCGCCAGGTGGGCGCCAGCGCGCAGCCAGGCGGCGCCAGGTGGCGACCTGGCAGGCAGCGGGGGCGCGATGCTGGGGGCGGGGCGGGGCGGCTGGCGGCGTGGCGGCCGGCGGCGCTGCCTGCGGGATGCTCTCATCAACTTCTCAACCTCTGTTGGGGTACGGGGCAAGCTCCCAAGAAAGAAGATGGAGGGCTGGCGCCAGGCCCTATCCTCCCAGCCACCACCCAGCCACCACCCACCCACGTGCCACTCCGCTCCCCGCCCACCGCCCCGCAGGTGTACCAGATGGTGCGGCGCCACATCGAGACGCACCCGGGCTTTGACAGCCTGCCCGTCACCTGGGTGAGGCGGCGCAGCATGCGCAGCGCAGCACAGCTCACAGCGCAGCACGGCACAGCGCAGCACAGCACCAGCACATTGCGCAGCACACAGCGCTTGCATGCACCCTCCCTCGCCCCACACCCACCCATGGCCCTTCCGCCCCCTCCCCGCAGTCCTCCCCCGCCTGGGCCTTCTTCATGTGCTTTGAGCACGAGCGCATCCACATCGAGACCTCCTCGGTGCTGATGAGGGAGCTGCCCGCGCACCTGCTGCGCCGCCCGCCGCAGTGGCCCGCATACCACGCGTCGGTGGGCGACGCGGCGCGGCCGCCGCCGCCAAACGAGCTGATTGCGGGTGGGTGGGGGTGGGGGAGGGGGTACGGGCGTGTGGGCAGGGCGGGGAGGGCAGGGAGTGGGGCGCGTGGGGGCTGGGAGGGTGCTGGGTGGCCGCGCGTGGTGATGTGCGGAGCGCGGTGGCCTTGCGCTGTGGCGCTGTGTGGAGAGAGAGGGGAGGTGCCCGCACTTTATGGTTCTGGAGAGAGCGCACACACGACCAGGTCAGCACATGCCAACGGCTTGCCGCCTGCCGCCGCCGCCGCCTGCAGTGGATGCGGGGGAGGTGGTGGTGGGCAAGCCCGCCGACTTCCCCTCCTACGGCTGGGACAACGAGTACGGCTGCCGCGCCTTCCACGTGCGCGCCTTCCGCGCCACGCGCGCCCTGGTCAGGTGGGCAGCGCCGCGGCCGCGGCTGAGCACGGCGTGAGGGAGGCGGCGGCAACGGCGCGGCGGCGGGCTTCAGGGCAGGGCGTTGGGAGGGCTGGGGTGGAGCCGGGGAGGGCTGGGGCCCGCTGGCGCCGAGATGCTGGACTGGCAGCAGCCACCGTAATTTCCTGCCCACCGACGGCGCCCCTGCCCCTCCCTTGGTTGCCGTCCCCCTGCGCCTCGCACGCCACACCCCCACCCACCCCGCGTGTGCTTGCTTTCCTCCCACGCCCTGCAGCAACGCCGAGTTCCTGGAATTTGTGCGGGACGGCGGCTACCGCAGCGAGCAGTGGTGGAGCGAGGAGGGGTGGCGCTGGCGCACCTTCCGCAACGCCAAGTGGCCTGCCTTCTGGGTGCCAGATGGGCCGCAGGGTGCGCCGCCGGCCAGCCGCGCGAGCCCGCCTGCCGGGGGTGGCTGCTGCCTGCGCGTCAGAGTGGCCAGCCAGGCCGGGGCGCCGCATGCCTCTGCCTCCCCAACTGCCTCCCCACCTCCCCTCTGCCTTTGCCTCCCATCCACACACACACACACACACACACACACACACTCTCTCTCTCTCTCTCTCTCTCTGTGCAGGCCTGCACCGCTACAGGCTGCGGCTGGTGTTTGAGGTTGCTGACATGGCGCCCGCCCTGCCCGCTGTGGTCAACCACCACGAGGCTCACGCCTACGCCGCCTGGCTGTCCGCCAGGCTGGGCCTGCGTGGCGACGCCGCGCTGCGCCTGCTCACCGAGCCGGAGCACCACCGGCTGCGCGAAGTCGCGGCGAGGGACGGCGAGGGGCGCACCGCGGCAGACCCGGGTGGGTGGGTGGGTGGATGGGTGGTGCCCGCCCCCAGATGCCTGCCCGCTGCCGCCCCGCCTGCCCCTCTGCCCGTGCCCCTGCCCCTGCCCCGCGGCCAGCACGCGCAGCAGCCGCGATGGCCAGCGCAGCCGCCACTTGTGAGACCTTCCCACCAGCAAACACACACACACAGCCGCACGCCTCCTCGCTCCCTCCTCACTCCGCTCGGCTGCCCCCTGCCCTCCCTCGCTTTTTTGTTTTTGCTGCGCCTGCTGCAGTGATGGAGCTGAGCGGCGTGGCTTTTGCCAAGCGGGCCAACCTGAACCTGGCATATGGCGCAGAGTGCGGCGTGGACGCCATGCCCGCCACCGCCGCCGGCTTCCACGACGTGGCCGGCAACCTGTGGCAGGTGGGTGGGGCGCAGGCGTGGATTGGAAGGCGCGCCGCCCGTAGGGGGCGCCGGGGCTGGCTGCCTGCCCGCGCCGCCGACCCCCACACACATGCGCACACACACACATATCCACACCTCGCACCCACACACGCACACCCTGCACACCCACACGCATACTCAACGCGTACGGCACCCCCCCCACCCCCCTGCCCGCCCCCCCCAGTGGTGCGAGGACCACATTGCCAGCCTGCCCGCCTCCCGCGGCGTGCACCCCTTCTACGACGACTTCACCACCCCCTGCTACGACGGCGAGCACAACGTCATCCTGGGCGGCTCTTTCGTGTCCACCGGCGACGAGGCCTCCGTCTTTGCCCGCTTCCACTTCCGACCCCACTTCTTCCAGCACGCCGGTGAGCGACGGGCGCGGGTGGCGGGCCGGCGGGGGCGGCTGCCGCAGCGGGGCAGCGGGGCGGGTGTGTCGCTCGGCGCTGGATGCCTGCCGTGCCCACCCCGTCCAAACGCAACCCTACCTCGCCGCTGCCACGCCCCGCCCCACGCGGCGCCGGCCTTCCACATCGCCCGGCACCCACGGCCTGCCGAGCCCTCCTCCCCGCACCGCCCCACCACCTTGCTCATCTCCTGCCTCCTCTGCCGCCAGGCGACCTGGCTCTCCAGCGCAGGCTTCCGCCTGGTCACTTTGAACCACTCTAATCTAATTTTAATAAATTTCTAATGGGCTGCGCAGGCTTCCGCCTGGTCAGCGGCACCGCCCCCAAGGAGACGAGCTGCCAGGACTCGCCGCCGCCGCACGTCGGCTCCTGGGACCCCTCCACCAAGAAGGCCAGCCGCGCCGCCGCGCACGCTGCCGCCGCCGAGGCGCTGCAGCAGGCGCTGCTGTGCGGGTACGGCGGCGAGGGCGCGCTGCTGGCGGGCGGCGCGGCACGGCTGGGCCTCCCAGGCGCAGACTACCCGGCGCGGCTGGCGGGGCTGCTGCTGGGCGCGGCGGCGCGGCTGGGGGTGCCGCTGGGCGCGGCGCTGGAGGTGGGGGCGGGCGTGGGCGCCACCGCCTTCCAGCTGGCGGCGGGCGGCTTTGAGAATGTGCTGGGCGTGGAGCACGACGCGCGCGCGGTGGCGGCGGCGGCGGCCGCGCAGCAGGCGGGCGTCGTCAGCGTCGCTCGCAAGGTGCGAGGGGTGGCAGGCTGTGTGTGGTTGGGGTTGGAGTGCTGGGGCCGTGCCTGTGCATCCCTCCCATCCACGCCCCGGCCTCACCAGCGTCGTTGCGCCCCCGCGATGCTGCTCCCTCGGTACCACCGCAGGACGAGGGCCACCTGCGCAGCGAGCTGGAGCTGGCGGTACCAGGCGGCACCGCGGCACGCGCCCGCGTCTCCTTCCGCCAGATGGACCCCTGCTGCCTGGTGAGGGGCCAGGTCCACACGCTGTGGTCAGGCCCACGCTGCCTGCTGGGGTCTGCTGCGGAGGGCTCTGTAGCAGGCTGCAGTGCTTCGCAGGTGCAGAGGCTTGGATGTCATGCGCCGCCGGCAATCCTGGGGCCTAGCGGGCGGCCAGCCAGCTCGCCCGGCCTCGCGTGCGCCGCCTGACCCCCCCGCCTGCACCCCGTGGTGACGCTGCAGCAACCGGACCTGGGCCCGTTTGATGCTGTGCTGCTGAGCGGCGTGCTGGAGCGCATCCCAAGTCCCAAGGCGCCGCTGGGTGAGGGAGCTGGCTGCGCTGCACATGCTGGCCGGTCAGTTCGGCAGCACCACCCGGCAGCCGTGCATGCGGGGCAGCTTCCCCGGGTTCTGGCACTCCGGTGTGCTGATGGCACATGGCGACCTGCTCCCCCACCTGCCGTGCAGGCCGCATGGCCGGCCCTCGTGGCCTGCTGCGCAAGGGAGGCCTGCTGCTCGTCACCTCCACCTACTGCTGGAGCGAGCGCACGGCGGCCAGCCAGCTGTGGCTGGGCGGCACCACAGACTCCGAGGGCAACCCCGTCAGGTGCGGGGCCTGGGCTGCCGCATGTGGGGTGCCCCGGGGGGGTGCAGCAGCAGTGGCAGACGGGGGGGCAGCCAGTGAGGGGCACGGAGAGGGAGGCGTGCTCTGTGGGCTGAGGTGTCCTTGCAGACAGCGCCAGTGTGCCACGCTGCACTCCCTCCCTCCTCCCAGCATCGTCAGCCAGTGTGCATCGTCAGCCAGTGTGCCACTCTGCACTCCCTCCCTCTTCCCAGCATCGTCTAACCTCCAGAGCTCCGCTCCGTGCTGCTGCTCATCTGCAGGTCTCGCGACGGGCTGGCCGCCGCCCTGGGCCCCGACTTTGAGCTGGTGGAGGAGGCAGACCTGCCAGCCGCCTCCCGCAGCTGCGAGCGCATGTACAGCGTGGCGGTGATGCACGCCTCGCTATGGCGCCGTGTGGCCTGACTCTGAGGGCAGCTGAGCCTCGTCTCATGACAGTGAGCCTGTTTTGTCGGTCCCCCTGCTGGGGACCTGCCCTGCCCATCAGCCAGGGCTGTTTCCGTCGTGTGCTGCGTGACGCATTTCATTCGTGGCGCGTCCCTGGTGGCATGCCGTGCCCTTGTCCCTGGAAGCATTTCCCATCCCATCATGTCTGTATGCCCTGAATCACACTGCCGAAACGAAGTGAAAGTGAAGGCGACAAGTATTACCCCCCACACACAACTGCAAATTTGCCTGCTATTGTGGCAGCACTTGTGTTGCTTTTTGCTGTGCCAGGCTGTGCCACTCCTTCTGCAATTTTATCATGAGTGGCTCCTGCCCGTTTGTTTGTTCCCCTTTGCCATTGTGTTTTGGACAGCCACGTGCTGCTTGCCTGCTTTTGTTATGTTGTAATGCCTACTATGTATATGCATGCATTATATGCGAGTGTGTAGCAGGGCATCCGGTGCTTGCGGGAACACGGCCTGGGGAGCAAGTGTCTGGTTTGGCATCAGCTGGTGCAGCCCTGCTACAAATAGCACCGCATAGCGCCGCAGCCAGCCATTCATCTCTCAGCACAAGTTACCCTTTGACCAACTCGCCCGCCGCTGCCACCTTTGGGGAGAGCCAATGGGCGGCACATGGACGGATCGCCCGCATGCCCGTGTGTGTGTGTGTGTGTGTTCCAGGGGATTGGGACTGACTGACTGAGACTGAGATTGCAGAGAACCGGGCCCTTTAAAAGGCTGGGGGCACATTAATGTGCTGGGGCCGAACCCGCTAACCCTGCCGGCTGTCCAGAGCGAGGAGAATGTGGCTGCCGATGGCATCCCGGGGAGGCTCCGTCTTGCAAGCGCCAAGCCGGTCTGCCGGGCAGCCGTCCGCCGCCCAGATGCCGCCACGAAGGTGCCGTTGTGTGTGTGTGTGTGTGTGTGTGTGTGTGTGTGTGTGTGTGTTACAGGGATTTTTTTTAGCCGTTTGTGTGTGTGTGTTTTACAGGGATTGGGCACATTAATGTGCTGGGGCCGAACCCGCTAACCCTGCCGGCTGTCCAGAGCGAGGAAAATCTGGCCGCCGATGGCATCCCGGGGAGGCTCCGTCTTGCAAGCGCCATGCCGGTCTGCCGGGCAGCCGTCCGCCGCCCAGATGCCGCCACGAAGGTGCCGTGAGGCAAAGTCCCAGCTAGTGTCCCGGCTGGGGTTCGAACTCGTGCCTGTGGTATCACCCACCGGCACTCATCCAGCTCCTTATTTAACGTCGCGGCCAACGACGACGTTAAAGCCGTTTTTGTGTGTGTGTGTGTTACAGGGATTGGGCACATTAATGTGCTGGGGCCGAACCCACTAACCCTGCCGGCTGTCCAGAGCGAGGAAAATCTGGCCGCCGATGGCATCCCGGGGAGGCTCCGTCTTGCAAGCGCCATGCCGGTCTGCCGGGCAGCCGTCCGCCGCCCAGATGCCGCCACGAAGGTGCCGTGAGGCAAAGTCCCAGCTAGTGTCCCGGCTGGGGTTCGAACTCGTGCCTGTGGTATCACCCACCGGCACTCATCCAGCTCCTTATTTAACGTCGCGGCCAACGACGGGCCGTTTTTTTGGACAGCAATAATTCGTGTTTCAGTGACTGATATGATTCTAAATTATGTAAGTCATGCAACGGTCATACCATCCAGAACACACCGGATCCCATCAGAACTCCGAAGTTAAGCTGGATTGGGCTGGATTAGTACTGTGTTGAGGGATCACACGGGAATCCTCAGTGCCGTTGTGTTTTGCTTTTTTTATATAGGGGAGGAGGCGAACTAGGGGAGGAGGAGGCTGGAGTGGAGACAGACACACGGCGGGGGGTGGACAGACATTCTCCCACGCCAGCCGGGACTGCTGGCGGGGGAGGGAGCAAGGCGGGTGGCGGCCAGGAGGTGCGCACGGTGAAGAGCCGCCAGAGGGGTAGGGCGGCCATTAGAGACGCGGCAAGAGGGTGCGGCAAAAACAGCACGGGGACACAGCAACCACCGCAGCCACAACAACCGCCAATGGCAGCCGAGGTAGCGGCGCGCGCCACCCAACGTTGGGGCAGGGCAGCCAGCAGCTGCGCCACCCGCTCCAGCGCCACATGCTGAACGAAGGCGCAGGAGGAGCGGAGGAGGTGGCCGCGCACGTCGGTAGTGTAGGCCGCCTGTGTCGGCACCGCCAGCGCGGCACGCTCTACCTCGAGCAAGCGGCGCAGGCAGTGCACCCCTGCATCCAGAAAGTCAGCAAAGGAAGAATCCAGGCTGGGAGGGTGCGAGGGGGAGAGGAGTAGCGGGTTGCTCCAGAGCGGGAGGGAGAGGCCCACGGCCCAGGCGCAAGCGGCTCCGCAGCCGCGTCAGCGGGCGCGGCCAGCGAGGCGAGGGCGGCGCGGAGGCGAAGGACGAGAGGGGGAAGAGGGGCGAGGGAGCCAGGCACGGGGTGGCCAAGAGGCCAAATGAGGAGCCCAGCGGGGGCAGGCCACCAAGAAGCTCACACGCAATGGCAACCCAGGGAGGCGCCGGCAGTGCGGCGGGTGAGGGGGCATGTGGGGGCGGGGCGGCGGCCAAAGAGGGCGGAAGAGGGGCATGAAGGAGGGCGGCCGCCGCCCCTGCAGAGGAGGGAGTGAGTGAGATTACAGAGAACTGGGCCCCTGAAAGGGCTGGGGGCACACAAGCCGTGCCCACTAGCTCTGGACAATACAAGTATGAAACCAACCAACAGGCAGGGCGGCGGAGCGCGGGGCTGCGAGGAGCCGATCGGGCACAATGGGCGGCAAGGAAAGCGGAGGGTGCCTGGGAGCCAGCCCGTTTGACTGTCATAGACTTGTGAGGAGGGGAAAGTGGGGATCAAGGGCCAGGACCGCCAGCAGGAGGCGCAAGCGGCTCCGAGACGCCACCCACCCCGGCACAGAAGCTGGGGGAGCGGCCAGGCGGGCGGGCGGGAACCGCCTCAGAGGGCAGGCGACACAGGGGGGTCAAGGCTCAGGTCAGATCACACGGGAGAAGGGGGCAGCCAGCTGCCAACGAGGAGAGGGGAGAAAGGGGGATGCCAGAGAAAGCACACCGAGCGGCAGCGCAGCAGGCAACGCAACACACGAGCAGGCGCACTGGCACTGCAGCATACCGCCGGCGGGTCCCCGATGGCGTGACTGCAGAAAAGCGCAACCACCTCCACTGGTTCCTGAGGAGGATCAGGGCAGAGGGGCCCATTCGGATGTGAGGAGGCGCGCCGCCCAACGAGCATGGCGGGCAGAGATGTGCAGCAGCCAAGGCAAGTCCTCAAAGCCGCCGCCGACTTTTGTGCAACTGACTGACTGAGATTACAATGAACCACCGGGCCCTTCGCCTGCGCACCGCCCTCGCCTCGCTCCCCGCGCCCGCTGACGTGGCTGCGGAGCCGCTTGCGCCTGGGCTGTGGTGTGTGTGTGTCCCCAGCCCTTTAAGGGCCCGGTTCTCTGTAATCTCAGTCATTCAGTCAGTGTGTGTGTGTTCCATGGGATTGGGCACATTAATGTGCTGGGGCCGAACCCGCTAACCCTGCCGGCTGTCCAGAGCGAGGAGAATGTGGCTGCCGATGGCATCCCGGGGAGGCTCCGTCTTGCAAGCGCCAAGCCGGTCTGCCGGGCAGCCGTCCGCCGCCCAGATGCCGCCACGAAGGTGCCGTTGTGTGTGTGTGTGTGTGTGTGTTACAGGGATTTTTTTTAGCCGTTGTGTGTGTGTGTGTGTGTTTTACAGGGATTGGGCACATTAATGTGCTGGGGCCGAACCCGCTAACCCTGCCGGCTGTCCAGAGCGAGGAAAATCTGGCCGCCGATGGCATCCCGGGGAGGCTCCGTCTTGCAAGCGCCATGCCGGTCTGCCGGGCAGCCGTCCGCCGCCCAGATGCCGCCACGAAGGTGCCGTGAGGCAAAGTCCCAGCTAGTGTCCCGGCTGGGGTTCGAACTCGTGCCTGTGGTATCACCCACCGGCACTCATCCAGCTCCTTATTTAACGTCGCGGCCAACGACGGGCCGTTTTTTTGGACAGCAATAATTCGTGTTTCAGTGACTGATATGATTCTAAATTATGTAAGTCATGCAACGGTCATACCATCCAGAACACACCGGATCCCATCAGAACTCCGAAGTTAAGCTGGATTGGGCTGGATTAGTACTGTGTTGAGGGATCACACGGGAATCCCCAGTGCCGTTGCGTTTTGCTTTTTTTATATGGGATTTTATATAGGGAGGGCAAACTGTGGAGTAGGGGAGGAGGAGGCTGGAGTGGAGACAGACACGGCGGGGGGTGGTGACATTCTCCAGGCGGACGCCAGCGGACGCAGCAAAGGGAGCAAGAAGGGAGAAGGAAGAAGTCGCTTCCTGCGGCGGCCAAAGCGGCGGCGCCACGTCACGCCCCGCCGCCGGCCCGGCAGCAGAAAGCCCTCCTGGGCCTGATCCTGTCTCACAGCGATTCGATTGTGGTCCGCCGCACTCCATTCAATCAAAGCGGGCGCGAAGCCACGGCTCCTGGAGGAGCATGTGCACATAATCTTCGCCCGTTGACAGTGCTCTTCGGAGCGTCTCTGCAAGACTTCTGGCTGTGTGCTGCCTAGCGGCCTGGCCGCCCGCCGTCACCCGACACACCAACCGATCCATCACCCTCCCTAGCGCTTCAAATCCCACCCCACGATGCGAACAGCGGCGCCATGGATGCCGCTGCTCGCGGCGCTGCTGGCGGCAGCCTGGCGGCCGGCCGCAGCGGGGGCGGCGCCGCAGGCGTCAGACGACGCCCGCCTGGCGCGGCTTGGCCACCAGCAGCAGATCCGGTCTGTGGCGGACCTTCAGCGCGCCATCTACACAGAGATGCGCATGATGTCCAACACGCAGAGCGGCGGCGACGCCTGCGTGCGCCTGCTGACCGCCAGCGGCACGGTGGGGTGCGCCGCCGGGCGCGCCGCGGTGCAGGGCCGCCTGCTGCGCTTGGAGGCTCTGCCCCCGGACGCTGACGATTACCCAGGTGTGTGAGTGCTCCACTATGGCCCAGCAGGCCATCCGCACGCAGCTGCTGTCCTGCCATGCGCGGCGCAGCACGCACGCGCGCCAGCCCTGCCACCGCCTCGCCCCCACGCCCCTGCCACAGACGGCACCGCCCTCCTGCTGCCCCCCTCGCTGCTGGCCGACTTTCTGGACCAGTGCCGAGCCAGCCCCGCGCTGCTGCGCCGCGTGCGGGGCGTGCTGGTGGAGCCGGGGCCGGCGCCGGCCTACAGCCAGGCGGCGGCGGCGCCGCTGGCAGACTTTGCCCTGTACCCAGGCCGCTCCTATGCCTGGAACCCGGCAGGTGGGCGAACTCAAGGGTCGCACTGGCGGGCGTAGCAGCATGAGTGGCGAGCGAGGGGTGCCAGGCTCGCAGCGCAGCGCAGTTAGGTATCTCGCCGCCTGTGCGCACACGTGCATGCCCCTCTGGCGCCGGCGCGGTGCAGGCAGGGGCCTGGCTGGCATGGACCTGCCCTTCCCCATCTTCCTGCTGGACGACGCCACCGCCGCCAACGCCGCGCTGCGAGCGGCGGAGAATGAGCAGCGGGTGAGGCACGGCACGGCGCGCTGCTGCTGCCCCCTAGCGGGGTCGCCACGCTCTGTGGCCGGTGCCGCCCCTTGCCTGTTTGCAGCCGCTGGTTGTTGCCATCGACACGAGCCCTGCCCTCCCCGCCCCCTCCATCCTGCAGCGCACCAACGGCGCGCTGCACCACGCCCGCATGCAGCTCGCCATGGACGCAGCCGGCAACAGCAGCGCGTGCCTGGCGGCCGGCACGTGCCTGCCGCTGGGCGGGCACAGCGTGCTGGCCGCGCTGCCGCCGCTGCCAGGTGGCGGCGGGGAGGACGGCCTGCCGGCGTTGTGGCTGCTCTCCCAGTTTGACTCGGCTGCACTGTTTCACGAGGCGACGGCGGGGGCAGATGCGCCCATGTCGGGCCTGATTGCCATGCTGGCGGCCGCGCAGCTTCTGGGCAGCTACGTGCACGGCGACGGCAGCGCGACGGCGCGGGCGCCGTTCCGCCGCCGCCTCGTGTTTGCGGCGCTGGGCGGCGAGCCCTGGGGCCTCATGGGCAGCAAGCGCCTGCTCTGGGAGCTGCACCAGGGAAACGCCTCGGCCGCCGGGCTCAGCCTGGCAGAGGGGCGCGTGGCCGGGGTGAGGCGGGGAGCAGCGGCTGCTGCTGCTGCTGCCGCTGCTGCTGCGCATGGGCTGCCGCGCCTCTTGCCACCCTTCCACCTTGTCACCCGGCCACCCAAGCCTAAGGGCGCCTCTGTGGCACGCCTGCTGCTGCTCCTGCACCTGCACTCCCACACCTGCCTCGCCTTCCTCCCGCCTGCTACGCCAGGTTTTGGAGGTGACGCAGGTGGGGCAGGCGCGGCAGGGCGGCGGCGGCGACACCGTGCAGCTCTACACCCACACACCCGCCAGCGGCGGCCCCGCTGCCGCCGAGCTGCTGGCAGCGCTGCAGGCGGCGGCGGCGGCCTCCCAGCCCGGCCCCGGCGGCGTGGCGCTGTCCCCCGCCAGCAGCGCCGCCCCGGGGCTGCCCCCAACCGCCAGCGCCGGCTCATTTGTGCGCGTGGCGGGCGGCGGCGGCGGCGGCGGCGGACCGCCCGCGGTGCTGCTGTCTGGCTTTGACGCCGCCTTCCGGGGCGCCACCTTTCAGACCCAGTTCGATTCTCTGGAGACTGTGGATGCAGACAGCATCGCCGCAGCGGCGGTGGTACTGGCGCGTGCAGCGCACAGCCTGGCATTAAGTGATGGCAGCGCCAGCGGCGGCGGTGGCGGCGGCGGCGGCGGTGGCGAGCAGGGGCAGGCGCAGCCGCCGCTGCCTGTTGACTACGGGGCTGTCAAGGAGACGGTGCAGGGGCTCATGCAGGTGGGAGGGGTGGGCAGGCCGGGGCGGGTGCGCCGGCGGGGGCATGGCTGGCTGGCGCGGCGGGACGGTCCGGCGCCTGCGTGCTCGCTGGCCCGCTGCCCTGCTGCGGCCTCGCCGTCTGCGCTAACCCTCCTGTCCGCCAAGCAACTGTTTGGCTGCGCGCTGCGCCCACTGCAGTGCCTGCTGAATGCCAGCGTGGGCCTCAACTGCCCGCTGGCGGCGGCGGTGATGAGCCCCGTGCGCGGCGGCCACGTGGCTCATTACCTGGGGATCCTGCGTACCATCACAGCAGGCAGGGCAGGGGGCGGGGCTGCGGGGGCCGTGGGCAGCCGCCCCTCCGTGTGTGTGCGCACCGTCGCCGGCGGCACCTCGCCGCCAACCTGCTGCTGCCGCTGATGCCGCCGCCGGTGCATGTGCCGTGCACGCCGACTGGCTCTGCCGCCGCCCGCCACCCGCCTGCTGCTGCGCCTGCTGCTGCAGACCCCCAGACGCCTGATGCCATGGTCAAAAGCGACACCGAGCGCTTCATCTGGAACTTCCTGGCCTTTGCCACGGCCCCAGGCGCGGCGCCGGGGGCAGGCGCAGCAGCAGCAGCAGCAGCAGCAGCAGCAGCAGCAGGCGATGGAGGAGGAGGGGGGCCAGGCGGCCTGCAGCGCTGCCAGCCCCTCAACGCCACCGCGTGCCCGCCGGGGCTGGTGTGCGCGGGGTCGAGGAGCATTCGCGGGTGGGTGGGAGGGCTGGAGGGCGGGGCGCCTGGGGCGGCAGGCGGCGGCCTGGGGCTGCTGCCTGCCTCAGCGCTGCGCCCTGCATGTCCCCACCTCCCTCTGCCTGCATTCCCTGCTTCGGTGCTGCACTCCTGCTCACTCACCTACTCACCCCCACCCCAACGATCCATGCCTGCCCCCCCCTGCAGCCCCGAAGGCCTGGGTGTGTGCCTGAATACCACAGTGCGGTATGTGCCCTCCTACAGTACCTCCCTGCTCTGCGACAGCTGCGACGGCAGCAGGACCCTGTACGACCAGCGCTGGCGCCTGACCGACGCGGCCGCGGCCTGGTGAGCACGCCGGCGGCGGCGGCGGCGGCGGCGCGGCGGCGTGCCGGCCTCTATGGCGCCGCCTGCCATTTTGCCTGGACATCAGAAGTGACACCTGGCGCCGGCTCGGCCTCGGGTGGCCTGCTGGCCACCTGCCTGCTGGCGTGCTGCCCTGCCGTGTCGCCGCCGGTGGCCGGCCCTTTCCCTGATGCCCCTGTTGCCTGCCTGCCTGCCTGCCTGCCTGCCGTCGCAGGGAGCAGCAGCACGGCTGGCCCGCGGATCCGGTGTGGACGGAGAGCAACTGGCCTCGCGGTACACCGGCACTGACGCTGTACCTGCGGGAGGCGCCGGGCGTGGACGGCGCGCTTCTGGCGGCGGGGCTGGCGGTGGCGGCGGCCAGCTTTGGCGGCACGCTGGCCCTGCGGGCGGCCTACCGGCGCAAGCTGAAGCGCCAGTGAGGGGATCCGAGCCCTGTAACAACAGCCGCTCTTCGACAGAGCCGCAGAGAGGCAGCGAGCAGCTCCCGCCGCTTCGCGCAGCAGCGGCGGGCTGTACGCATCGCCAGTCCTGCACTGGCGCGCCTGCATGCATGCTGGCCTCCACGAAATTCAGCACACTCCTCCCTCTGTTTAGACTGTCAGGCCCGCAGGCTGGTGCTTCGCCTGAAGCCCAGTCACACACGCATCGCGCACGGGCCGGCGGCTCTCGGCTAATAATTAAACTAGGCCGCGCTCATAGCTGGGATTATCGCTTTGGGTTAGCCTCGCCCACCAATTGGCGGCATGCGGCGCGCTGCCTGCCGCCTGCTAACAAGGGCGCTGCAGGCTGAGGGCGGGCTGTGGTCAGCTGCATCCGCCCAATGCCTCCCCGCTGCAGCCGGCGATGCGCGGGTGAGGCCGCCGCCGCTGCCGCAGCCGCGGCCGCCGCCGATGCCGCCGGTTGGACGGTTGCTGGCTGCCAGCCTGGCATCCGGTGTACCTTGTTTGATCCCACTCGTCCTCACTGATGCAGAGATGGGCTTCAGTAGAGGGCAGGCAGCTGGTGGCCGGCCCGCTGCACCCGCGCCTGCACAGCGCCCTGGCAGCCCCTCAGCTTGCGGCCTCGGCTGCCAGCACCGAGGAGCGGCAGGAGGGTCCTGCGCCGCCGCAAGACGTGCCACCCCCTGTCAGCCCTCCCCTGGACCTGCAGCCAACGACCTCTGACAGCAGCGGCAGCAGCGGCAGCGGCGCGGTAGAGGCGGGAGCTGGCACCGGCGCAGGCGGCGGCGGCCCGGCTGCCGCGCCGCCGTCGCACCAGCAGGGCCGCGGCAGCGGCCAGCGGCGCGGGCCGAGGCCGCCCGGCGGGACCAGCAAGCCGCGCAGGCAGTGGCAGGGCCGGCCTGCGCAGGGGCACGCGCAGGGGAAGCAGCGGCAGCGCCAGCACGGCGAGGCGGGTCGGGAGGGGGGCAGGCCGCGCCAGGGCGGCACCTACGAGCAGAGGCAGGAGCGGTATCTAGTGATGGAGATCCTTCACAAGAAGCAGAACTGCCGCGAGGTGAGCGAGCACGTCCGGGGGGCGCCCTGGTCCGGGCGTCTCTTGTGTGCTGTAGGGGTGCAATCGTGGCGACAGCATGTGTGTGTGGCCTGGGCCGGCCAGGCCTTGCCCCGGCTGCCTTGCTCCGGGGGGGGGGGTGCAGCTGTCTGGGACCGGCGCGCCCACTGTCCCCTTCACCCACCCCGCTCCCCGCCCCAGCCACCATCCCCCACTCGCATGCCAGCGGCATGCACCCGCACCTCGCCCGCACGCTTCTCACGCTCGCGCGCTGTCCCCCTCCCTTGCCACCCCGCCCGTCTGGCCCCCTCCCCTCACAGGTGGTGGAGCTGGTGCAGCGGCACGCGGCGCGGCGCCAGCTCAGCGCGCGCGAGCTCACCATGGCCTGCACCCGCCTGGGCAGGCTCTACGCCGCGCTGTTCAAAGACACGATGAGGCTGGGGGGCGATGCAGGTGGGTGGGGGTGGAGGGGTGTGGGGGTGCGGCGGGAGGGCAAGCCGGGGGCTGGGTTGTGTGGCGGGAGGGCAAGCCGGGGCAGTGTGTGTGTGGTGGAAGGGTGGGGGTTGGGATGTGCGTGCTTCGTCGCAGGCTGGTGTGTGTGTGTGTGTGTGGTGGTGGGGTGGGGGGTGAGATGTGTGTGCCTCGTCGCAGCGGGGCAGACACATGGCGGCGAGAGGCAGAGCGGGCGTGGTGTGCCCCCCCATCACCCTACTATAAACCCTGAACCCCTGCAGACAACAACAACGAGCACTGCGCCGCCATGTTTGATTTGCTGGTGCCCCGCCTGGCAGACCTGGA